ATGATATGAATTGGATATACAGAGTTTCAAGTATGGAGAGTGAATCATAGATAATACAATGGAAATTAACTAGTCATATATAATTTATAATTCAAGTACAACAATTGAGTACAAATGTGGTTTTAAATTATTACACACTTTTTTGAATACACAATGAATTTAATTATTTTTAAAAGGTTGTGAAGTAATGTTAGTCACATTATTACACGAGTCTGTCAAACTTAAATAATATCAATGTTTGTTATTAATGAAATTATAATTACTAATAATAATAATAAAAAGAATGTTCGACTGTTAGAAAGGATAATAAAATGTTTCTTTAATTGAACGTATTTCATTTGAGAAAGCTCTTTTTCGGTGTGTACTTCGTTACGAGAAACCAAAATATAATTGTTTAAAATATTGAATATAAAACGATAGTTATTCACTTAACCGTTTTATATAAAAAACAACTTCTCTTATGAACACAACTAATTACAAGAACTTAAAAATTAACGAATGCCTCAAATTGATGGTTATAATATCCTCATAGTTTCAAAGTACTTTTCAACTCTCACCGACTTCTATAACATCCAGATGGTGTGCAAAAAGTTTTCCGACACAATGTCTAAGCTCCATTATAATCCAGTCCCCATTTCTGATAAAACAATATCCCACTTCCCCAATTTAGAGACACTCCATGTCTACAACAAAGGAGAAGTGACTCTTACTGATGAAACGCCTTATACAATTATTATTTGGTATCAAGTGACATACACTGAAATGGCACTATCTAAACGTCCAAATACGACATACAAACGTGTGAATTACACTCTAGATGACCAAAAGACGTATGGCAAAGATCTTCCCCCCGAAGTGACTGTGATAGGGTCCCACTTATATGATGAAAAGAATCCAGTTCGCTCTTTAAACATAACAAACCGCATCGTCGAAATAGAGCGGAGTGCCTTTGCAAACAACCAAAAACTCTTAGACGTGACACTTCCCGTGACACTCACTAAATTAGGACGTACCGCGTTTTACTCGTGTTGTTGTCTCTCCGGTCTGACACTGCCGAGTACCCTTCGAGAGATGGGCGAGAGTTGCTTTGAGAATTGTACTTCTCTTGAGAAGATCAATATCCCCGACAAGGTCACTCTCTTAGACAAAAAGTGCTTTGGTAACTGCGCAGTGCTCTTTGCAGTGACTTTGCCGTCCGCATTGTCGCACCTTGAAAGTGCCTTCTACGCGTGTTCCAAGCTGACTTCCTTGAACATCCCGGAGACAATCACTTCGTTCGGCGAAAGAGCGTTCTACAAGTGTCTCGCGCTGAGTACCATCGACATCCCAAAATGTGCCGAGAAGTTCGGCAAAGAGTGTTTCTGTAAGTGTCGAGTCTCGAGCATCGCCTTCTCGCAAAATGTGAATGAAATTGGCGTCGCGTGTTGTTACGAGTGCAAATTTTTGAATAAGATCGAAATACCAGACAAAATCACAATGATCCCAGAAGACTGCTTCGCAGGGTGTATCTCACTCACACACGTTAAGTTACCTGATACGTTATTGGAGATATCCACTCATGCATTCGGAAGTTGTGAAACACTCAATGTTATTACTCTCCCAAAATCAGTCACTTACGTCGGGCAAAGAGCCTTTGAAAAGTGTACAAGTTTAATTGCGGTGTCGTGTCTTGGAAAAGTTAAAGTCGTTGATAAAGACGCTTTTAAAGATTGTAACAGACTCAAAATTAAACCAAAAGATGGTTGTTGTATAGCTTAATTGATTCAGTTACTATATTGTTTTGTAGTTCAGTTTTACTATACTAAAACTATAATTATATCAATATATATTTTAGTTTTTTTTTAATTTTGTTACTACAATACGACAAGTATAAGTTAAATGGTAATTTATATGGTTTATATATATTAAAATATAATAAACTATTTAACCAATTTATAATAATTAAAATTATTATATTAAATTAGTTAAGTTATATATATTATTATTATTAGTTTTAAAACTATTGACAAAACCATTCAAAAACAATTTGTCTGACTTTTGTTTAATTTATTTCATATTTTTATTAATTAAAATATTATAATATTTATATAATTAATTAATATTTTAAATTGTTAATAATAACATATTAATAAATTAACCAGATATTTATAGTTAAAGTTGATATAGTTTCACGATAGTAAAAATGAATTAAAAAAAAACTATGAATAAATGTGTATAAGAATGTCCACCTCACATCACTGAGGAAGGTACACTCATCGAAAGAATTATTTCAGCTATTCCTTCGTCGTTTTTTGGGATGGACCGTCTCATTTTTCCATTCCCAACTATTTCATTAAAAAGTTGATTAAGAGCAAATCCCCTCTTCAAAAAGTCGTCGAAGTCCATAACAACATGCCCTTCATATAAAACCTTCTTTATCCGCTCGAGTCTCAATGTTTTACCAGTGTTTCTTGCGAGTGTCGACTCGAAAGAAAAGCCTTTCATTTCAAGAAGGTCGATCAAGAGATGTTGAACAAAGATCTTCTTGTTCTTTTCATATCGTCTGAGTGCTGTTTGTCTCTTCTTCACCGTCCCACACTCACTTAAATAAGTCTTTTTGAGCGACTGTTCT